GAGCAGTACCAGGACCACGGATATCTTAGATTAGGGGTTAGGGCAGGGCTGTGCCGTTGTTTTGTCTCGTTGTCTGGCACCAACGACGTCCCCTGAAACCCAAGGAGTGTGTCCCATCCTGGCTGGGGCAGGCCTGAGATGGCTGATCCCAGCTTGGGCAACCAGACCATTCCAAGAAACTGCTGGGCTGCAAGAGGGCCTTGCACTAAAAAGCTTTTCCTTTTCCAGCTGCTTGCCTGAGGTCAGCCACACGCCACAGCCAACCTTGGCTGGAGCCAGAGCGGAGAGAGTCTTGACTCTGGACTGCAAGCCAAGAGCCTGAGGGCAGCTGGCAAGCTTTTCCTCCTTTTTTCCTTCTTGATGAGCAATTTAAGCCAAACCAGAGGCAGCAGAGAGGCCAGGCTGTGCTGGGAGATGCCTCTGAGCTGTGAAGCTGAGCTCTAGCAAGGAATCATCTTCTTGTTGAGTGGCTTTGCTGGGAAAGGCACTGCCAGGGCTGGTTGGTCCCACATTTCCTGGGAGCTGGAAGGATTCCTGCACTAATGGGTGTTAGAAGAGCTCTCAGCTGCTTCCACTCCACTTCAAAGAGATGCAAAGCTCCCCTTTGCTCAGGCTCTTGTCCCTGTGCCTCCACACACACCTCCCTCGTTCCTGCCACTCTCTCCAGCCACCAACACTTGGGAGCAGCCAAACCCTCACCAGGGGAGCTGAGCCCAGGCTCTGCCTTTCCCAGGCACTTGCAGAGGGGTCAGGGAGCTGCAGCTGGACTCACTGGGGAGTGGGATTGTGGCCACAGGCAGCAGCATTCCCTTGGGACCAGCTCATGGATTAAAGGGTGCAAGGTTCCCTACATGAATTACAGGCTGGGGGGGAAAGGACACCCCCCAAAACTGCAGTTTGTTCCCTTATCCCTTCTTTTTTTTTATTATTATTATTATTATAGCAGTCACGCTTGTTTGTTTAGGGCCTGTTTGCTGTTTATAAAAGAAGGCTTTGCCTTAAGTTTAACTCTTTGCACTATGGACTAGATACTGAGCAGATTAAAATCTCCTTTACCAAAAGCTGGGTGCTGCCTCATTCTTGGGAAGGGTTTTTTTTTGGGGGAAAATGTGTGTTTGTCTCATTTATCCACCCCTGGACTCCATCACTCCTCACAAAAGGTCAACATCACCTGCAGGCTCAGGGGTGTTTCCCCCAGAAAAGCAGCGCTGTGGGATACCCAGGGAAAATCCAGCACCAGGAGATGAATTTACACCCAAACCCACAGCAAGAGGAGGTGGTTGTGGATACACCAGGGGACAGGGAGGAGGGGCTGGGCTTTCCCAGCGTGTTCCAGGCTGGCAGGATCATGCTGGGACACATTCATTCCTATTCCTGCAGGTATCTGGTGCCTCAGCATCCTGTGCCAGGCTGTCCTGGCATGGGGCAGGGTCTTGCCTTGCAGAAGGGCTGTGGCAGGCTCAGGGTTACTGTGAGCAGGTTTTGCTGCACAAGGAGCTGCTCCTGGCTCGGATCTGAGCTCCTGGCGGGATGCTTTGTGCTTTTAAGCACTCTCTGCTTCCCCCAGCATCCTCATAAATTGTTTGGGAAAATGGCTCAGGACGCTGATGGGCAGAGACGCCAGGAGTCCTGGCAAGTGGCTCATTTAAATCAGGATGGAAAGCAGGAGAGAGGAGATGGGAGCTGCTGGGAGGCCAGAAGGAGGCAGATACCTGCTCAGGGAGGGCAGTGCTGCCAGATGCCTGATAGCTGGGCAAACTGAGGCACTTGTGGTGCTCTCAGGGGTGACCTGAGGCTGGCTGGGCGGGATCAGCAGGGGAATGTGGGAGGCAGGCTCTCCCAGCCCAGCAGCCCCGGCAGGGGTGGGAAGGATGCTCGGCCACCTCAGGCCACTGCAGCCGAGCTTTCCCAGAGAGGACAGGATGTGCAGGACACAGCCCTCCCTCGGGAGCCATCCTGCACACACTTGGCTCAATCTCTGCTCAAGCAGCCAGCAATTGCAGGAGGAAAATGCAACCACCTCTGTCCTAATGGACAAATGTGAGCTCTGCCTGCCCCGGCACTGCGGGTTTTGGTGCAGGGCTGCGCAGCCTGGGCCACTCCCAGGCAGGAGATTTGGAGTCCTGGGGGTATTCCCTGCTCCAGAACAGCTTGGGAGGCTCCCACAGGAGCTGAGAAGGTGCTGTCAGCTCATCAAAGCCACCCTTCCCCGAGGAGGGAGCAGCTGATGCTGCGGCTGACCCCGGTCCAGGAGCCCCCAGACGCTGGGAAAATCCCTTTGTCAGCCCAGCTGCAGCTCCCTGTCCCTAATGAGCAGCTGGGGACAGCTTGGGGACAGCCTGGGGACAGCAGGCAGGGTCCTGCCTGCCAGCAGGGAGCAGGGGGACACAGCTGGAGCACAGATGTGGCACAGCAGGAGCGCAGATGTGGCACAGCAGGAGCAGCAGTGACACCCGGCCAGCAGGGAGGGAGCAGCTGAGGATCAGCAGCAGAACCACAGGGAGCCTTTGGGCTGCTGCTGGCACCAGTTTGGGCTCTCATTAGTGACCCAGCACCCCTCATCAGCTCCCCGGGCACGGCAGCAATGCCGGTGGTGCCTCAGAGCCACGATGCCACCCTGCCCAGAGCAGCTGGCACGGTTCTGGGCAAAGCAGGGTTTGAAATGTCTCAGTGCAGAGAGATTCTCCTGCCCCTCTCTGCAGCCCATGGCAGCACCTCTCACCCTGCTCGTGGCGATGGAGTTTGGAGGAGCTGATCCTTCACCCTCTGGCACAGCTCTCCAGGATGTGGGATTCTCCCAGGGGCATCCCTGAAGGAGCTGATGTCTGCTCTGCTGAAATCCAGGCTTGTGGTCCTTTTCTTGCCCACCAAGGATTGTCCCCTCCCCTGCCACTCCCAGGTTAAAGGTCTCCTGAAGATGTCTGGGAGTGTTCCCTGCACCTCAGCAGCAGTGAGGCCTCTGAACCTGGGCCACAGCCAAGCTTTTGGGTGGAGCAGGAGCCATCCTGCTGCTGCCAGGAGTCACCAGGCCACCCTTCACCACTGGGGCATTTCCACACTCTGACACCATGATCCCTGTGCAGACACCATCCAGTTGATCTCTTTAATCTCTGCTGCCTGCTGACCTCCTCAGGTGACCTTGCAGTGCCAAGGACACGAGTGCTGCTCTGAAAAGAGGTGCTGACATTTATTTTTGTTTCTAAAAACCCACAAAAACCTCAAAAGAAACAGCAAAACAACCCAACTGCTGCCTCTGTCAGCTGCACTCAGCACTGGGAGCTCAGCCTGGTTCTTGTACAGGCTCCTCGCTCTCCTAACTTGGGGCAGCTGGCAGAACTCATCAAAAGCACCCACTAGGAACCTGTCAGAGTTTCCTGTGGCTCTCCTTCTTTTTTCCTTTTCCTCACCCTCCCTTGGCAGCAGCAGACACGCTCCCCCCCGATCCTAAAGTGTCCACACAGCCAAGAGCATCCCAAAGGAAGCAGAGCCCAGCAACTGCCTGTGCTGAGCGAGTTCCCCACATCGTGACAGGGACATGGGAACGCTCCCAGCCCCCACACATCATCCACAAAATTCCCTTTCCTCCTCCCAGAATAGCCATCGATCTGCTCTGCGGGTTGTTTGCCCCCTGAGCAGCTCTGCTGACAGAAAAATAAAAACATCTCCAACCCAAACAGAGGCTTCTGCTGCAAGCCGAGCCCGGCTGCCTGTGGGGTGGCTGCAGCAGGGACCCCAAAGGGGCAGGAGGTGCCACCCCTGCTCCAGCACCTCCCCAGATCCCTGCGGGCTGGGGGTGGCCTGGGGAGGTTGTGATGTGCCCAAGGAGCTCAGTGGGTTCCCTTGGGGTTCCCACTGGGTACAGGCACTGGTAGAGGGGCACACAGTGTCCCTGGGGCTGGTGCCAGCCTGCTGCAGCTCCTGCTGGGCAGGGACACGGGTGTGCCATGCCCATGGGCACAGCTGCGGTTCTGGGGGTCCATCCGGCACAGATGGGGGGCAGTGGGGGTCTGGGGCAGGGAGGGGAGGATGTCGGGTTGTGTCCCGCGTTCCTGGGCTGGGGAACGCTGCTGGCACGGTCAGGACAGGAGCCGGTCCCAGCTGGCACCCTACAGCCGGGCAGGGCACCGCCCCAAGCCCATTAAGGGGGTTCGGCCGCTGGACAGGATCCCCCTCCCTGGCTGTCCCCTCGGGGACCTATTTTGGGCAAGGAATGAGGAAGCTCTTCATTCCCCTGCTAAAAATATCGCCCTTTCCCAGCGGCGGGTCAGCGCTTTCACAGTGGGGCGGGGGGCACGGAGCCACCCCCGGGCCCGGGGCTCTGTCCCCCCCGGGGTGACCCTGGTGGCACCGGGACGCTCCGGTGGGACTCGTTCCTGGGGGGGATACCTCGGGGAGGTGCCGGGGGTGGTGGCAGCACCGCGCTGATGTCTCCGGGACGCCGATGCCACCATCTAGCGGCTCCGCGGGGACATCCCGAGATGGTGGTAGGAACAAAACAGCCTGGCTGGGACACTTCGGCTTGGGCCAAGTACCGGCATTGAAATGTTAATTAGCCAATTGCTCCTGAGAATCACCTACAACCCCGCCTACACTAGGACCTGGATGCAGAATAATCCAGTGGAATCATTGGAGGGGGTTTTGGGGATGAAAAACACCCCTAAATGGAAAAGATGGGCACAGCGGAGGGGGCTGGAAAAGAGAACCCCATCTCTATCTGTGTTTAACCTGTCACCATAACCAGAGGACCAGAGTGGACTGGGCTGTGGGAAGCAGGAGCAAAAGGACATTTTTTCCTGGTGCTGCCAGGAGGGAAAGAGGAGAGGACGGTCTGCTGGGACTCCGGATGGACTGCGCACCTCCTGGGACCCCTGCAGAGCTGACTTTTAATAAAGAGCTGACTATTAATAAAGGCAAAGACCCTGATCATTTCAGGTGGCACCGGTGCTCTGCCCGCGGGGGTCGCGGGCACACGGGGGGCACAGGCAGGAGGCACACGGGGAGCTGAGCAGCCCTTTATTGAGGGGAGGGATGGGGCAGGAGCTCCTGGCCACTCAGCCCGGCTCGCCCTGCCCTGGGGGTGCCCGGAATAGCAGCGAGGTGACCCAACGCTGCCCCGGGCAGGGCAGGGAAGGTTTCCGTGCCCCACCACGCTGGGGCTGGCAAGGGGCACCGAGTTGGCAGCCGAGGGCGAGCTCAGGCAAACACAGCGGAGTTTTGCCAGTAGGAATAGACGAGGAACCCGGTGAAGGTGCTGTCCGTCTTGACGCTGGCGTAGAAGCCGATGTAGTCCCCCACACCCACCTGCACCCACACCTCATCCTCGGGCTCCAGGCGGACCAGGGTGCCCCCCGAGAGCGAGGTGGGCTTGGGCCAGTTGCCGTAGTACTGGAAGAAGGAGGCGATGGATTGGCCGTTCTTCATGATGTCGAACTGCAGGCTGGTGCGGTACACGGTGGCGTGCACGGCGAAGTAGTACAGGCCGGGCACCTCGCAGGTGAACTTGCCCGTGCCAGGGTCGTAGTGGCCCTGCTCGTTGATGAGCACCACGTCGAAGAGGATGGGCTGGTCTGCCAGGGGTGGGCTGCGGGTCTCGGAGCGCTTGGCGCTGAAGGCAGAGCGAGGAGCCACGGCGCACTCGCCCTGAGCCCCCTTCTCACCGTGCAGCCCGTCCACGCCGGGGCTGCCCACCTCCCCGCGGGGACCGGGCACTCCTGGGGCGGGCAGGAGGGGACAGAGTCACCTCTGAGTCACCAGCACAGCTCTTCCAGCCCTCCTGCCCAGTCCCAACCCCGCCAATTCCCTGCCACGGCGTGGGGAGCAGTGGGGAGGGCTGGGTGTGTAATTTAGCTCGGCACCAACAAATCGTTGGAGAAGCCCTCGCAGGTTGGGGGAAGCCCAGCCCAGGGCAGGGGTGATGCAATTCCTGCTGGTCCCTCCTAAAGCAGGGCTGGAAGGGAGGGGTGGCATCAGGGATGGGGACAAATTCAGCATCTGCTGCCTTTTACACAATAAGGTGTGTAAATACACAGCCGGGGTGGTGGTGGCATGGGAGGGGCGCTTCTACAGGATTCATTCTCCATTTGGCAATTTGTGCCAGCAGGCAGGACTCACCCCCTGGCATGGGGGTGTTCCCCACGGGCAGGGAATGGCAAATCCCCCTCCCCAGCAGGGATCTCTCCCTTCTTACCAGGGGGGCCCATCTCGCCCTTCTGCCCTGGCATCCCCGTGGCTCCATCCCGCCCGTCTCGCCCGTCTCTGCCTGGCAAACCCTGCCCCCCGTGCAGGCCTGGGGTGCCCGGGATGCCCGGCTGCCCTGAGCACAGCCCGGGGATCTTGTTGTCTTCGATCTGCAAGGACCTGGTGATGAGCCCGAGGAGGAAGAGGAGGAAGAGCCGCTTCATCTTGTCCTGGAGGGGCTGGAGGGGGGCAGAGAAGGATCACAGCTGTGGGGAGCACAGTGAGGAGGGTTGGGGGCGTTTGGCAGGGAGTGCGGGGGGTCAGCAGGGGACATTGCCCCCCTTCTTTTCCCTTTACCTTTTGTGCTGCCTGCACCTGCCCCGTGTGCCACCACATCATCCCGCAGCCCCGGGGCACCCCAGGGCGGCTGTGGGGCGCGGCTGTAGGGCCGGGGCAGCGGTTATTTGGGGTGGGCACTGCCCCATCGTGCCCAGCTATGGCAGGACGGGCAGGGGTGATCCAGGGCCGGCAGCTGGTGAGCTGTGAGCGTGCCAGGGTGGGGTTGTTGGCTCTGGGGGTGCGCGGTGGGGCGGCAGCTGTGGCGTGGCCCTGCCCTTGGCAGCATCCCGGCGGCTCCGCTCCACCCCCGGCCGGCTGCAGCATCCCCGGCCGTGCCCACCCCGCTCCGGGACCACCCCCCTGCCCGGGATGCCCCCCGCCCTGCCCGCAGCAGCGCAGCGAGGGCTGAGCCCCAGAGCCAGCGCTGGACCCCTCCCCGTGGCTTTGACCCAAAAAACTGCTCTCTTCCCCCTCCACGACAGCAGCAAAGAGGAAAAGGAGGAGAAAAGCGTCTCTCCTCCGCCCAGGAGCCGGAGCCGGGAAGCCGAGGGGTGCCAGCTGCCCCCGGCTGGGTGTCCCCACTCACTGCGAGCCCGGGGCTCCTGTCCGGGACCTCCTGCTCGGTGCTGTGCGAGAGCTGAGCTCCTCCGGCCACTGGGCTCTGACGAACCGAGGAGAGGCAGCCTCTCCACCCCCTCCTCCCCACGCCTCTCCTCCCAAACTCCAAAGGAAATCAAGGGCCTCGGGAGCCAAAAGCTACAAGACAAGGGGAAAAAGAAAAAGAATCCCATGGTGGAAGTGCTGTGGGCAGGGGGAAGGGAGAGCCCGGCTGAGGGAGGGAGGCACAGGCTGAGAACCACCTCGGGTACCCCGGCAGCGGGATGGAGGGGATAAAAACAGGGAAAACAGGCAGCAGAGGGGAGGGAAACGAGATAAAGGCTGAGGGAGGGAAATCCAGCGAGGCAGAGAGGGTGACAGAAAGAAGAGGGAGCTCTCAGGGTGAGTGAGCAATATAGATATATAGATAGATATATAGATATATAGATATATAGATATTTAGATATATAGATAGATAGATAGATAGATAGATAGATAGATAGATAGATAGATAGATAGATAGATACAGATAAAGGCTGAGGGAGGGAAATCCAGTGAGGCAGAGAGAGTGACAGAAAGAAGAGGGAGCTCTCAGGGTGAGCGGGCAATATAGATATATAGATATATAGATATATAGATATATAGATATATAGATATATAGATATATAGATATATAGATATATAGATATATAGATATATAGATATATAGATATATAGATATATAGATATATAGATAAAGGCTGAGGGAGGGAAATCCAGCGAGGCAGAGAGGGTGACAGAAAGAAGAGGGAGCTCTCAGGGTGGCAGCAGGCAAAGGGGATGGCAGCACACACACTCTGCCTGGCACTGCCAGCCCTGGGAGCACACAGGGGAAGCTGCAGGATCCGTCTGGGCAGTCTCAGAGTGTTGGGCTGGGCGTGCAGGGCAGGTGGAAGTGTGGGCAGAGCAGAGCTGTGCCCGTGCCAGGAGGCAGGGCTGGCCCTGGGGACCGTGGCGCAGCTTTCCAGGCACTCTCAGCTTGCCTTTAACTGGTTCCAGCGCCGAGTGCGTCCAAGGGACACGGTCACACGCTGGCCAGCGGGGCGGGCCTGTGGCTGGGGATGTCCCTGTGGCCAGCAGCAGCAGGGACATGCAGGAGAGAAGGAGCTGGGTGGGCTCAAAGCCCCTGAGCTGGGTGGGAGTGGCAGAGGGCAGAGTGGTGCTGGCACGGGTGGGTCCTGACCCCAGTGACCCCAGCCAGGCTGGGGATTTCTCCACATGCTCAGGGCAGTGGGAAACACAATGTCACTGCTGGCTCTCTCCTCCCCATGCCAGAGCCTGCAGTGGAGCTGGGGACATTGCCAAATGTTCCTTCCATTCCTGGATACTCACGGCCAGGCTGGGTGGTGGCAGGGAGCCGCCTGTCTCCTCTCCCAAGGTGTGAATGGACTGTTGTTTTTGGCCAGCTGGACACTGGTTTGTGGCCGTGGGTGTTGCCAGGCCTGTGGCCACCAGGGTGGCCTTCAGCCAGCACAGGCAGCTCCGCCAGCAGGGCCACCACTCTTGGCGGGGCAGGATCCCTTCCCTGCACCATGGGGCCACCAACTGGACCCCCTCTGACACCCATCCTTCTCCCTGGGACCCTGCAAGCCCTCAGCCCAGTGAGGGCACAACCAGCTGCCCACTCTCTCCTGCAGTCCCCCCCGTGCCCCTCCATCCCTGCTCGGATCCCCCACCCCAATCCTGCCTTCCCTCCCTCCAGCCATTCCTCAGCTTCCCCGAGGATCTGGCAGACCCCAAATAAGTCACCCACCCCGTTGGGTTTGTCAGCTGCTCACGCTGTTTATTCTGCTGGATTTGGGGCTGTGGGACAGAGACAGCCCTGGGCTGCCATGCCTGCAGCCTGGCTCACTTCTGCCCAGCCTCGCTCTGTGTGGGGAGCATCAGCCCTTTCCCTGTGGGATATGCCACCTGCTCTGGAGGGAAATGGAGCTGTGGGCAAGCCCGTGGCACCCAGGTGAGCGCTGGGCAGAGGGGCTGACCCCAGGGTGGCTGAGGAGCTGGAAAGGAGAGCAGGAGGGACATTTAGGGTGGGGAGGGTGACTTCACCCCTGCTGCTCTCCTCTGGCCGGCTCAGGGCTGGAAGCACTCCACGGGGTCGTTGGAGTCGGGCAGGATGTTGCAGTTGATGGGCCAGAGGATGCCCAGGAGGCCGAGGGACTGGCGGCAGCGCTGCTCGGCTGCCAGGCACACAGCCCTGCAGGGCTGCAGCACCCCCCCATCCGGGGTGCACTTGGGCACGAAGAGGCTGCAGATGAGCAGGCGGAGGTGCTGGTAACACGCCAGCTCCATCAGGGTCTGCGGGACAGCAGGGGGACAGCAGGGGACAGCAGTGTGAGCCTGGCATGGCACAGTGAGGGCACCCCCCGGGCAGCCCCAGCCCGCTCACCTGGTAGTCCTGCAGCACCTCAGCAGCTCCCTGCTGGTCTGGGATGGCCAGCCAGATGTTGGGGAAGGAGGTGGCGTTGTAGCCCAGCCCCAGGCACATCTCCACTTCCACGGGCTCGCAGACAGACCCTGCCACGGGGAAATAATGGGGTTGTGCCCACAGCAGAGCTGCCCACCGGTGTGCCCCGGGGCCAGCTGGGTGCCAGCGTGGCACTCACCAAAGGCTGGGTAGGACACCCCGGTGCAGTTCAGCTCGTCGGTGCCATCGGGGCAGTCGTGCCAACCGTCACACACAGACTCCAGCGCCCGGCACTCGCCATTCCCACAGGAAAACTCGGTGGGGCTGCAGGTCTCTGAAGGGGAGAGGGTGTGGGAACATGCTGATCTGATCTGGCAGATCCAGCTAGGGAGAGCCCAAATTTTTCAGGTTATTTGGGGCAGCCCTCAGGTCAGGATCCTGCCTCTGTGCAGGTCAGCCCTTCCAGGTCACATCCCCACACCAGTGAGGTTATTGGGTAAATCAGCTGAGCCCAGCAGGCCCAGCCATGGAACAAAAGCTGCTTTTCACAGGTTTTTATCCAGCTTGGCCTTGAAGCCCCCCAAAGATGGAGGTGGCACAACCCTGTGCCCCCACTTGGCTACCTACTCTCTGTGGCATTGCGGGCGTGGTAGGTGGCAAAGAACCCAACATCTGCAACTCCCTCGTCTGCCACGAAGAGGACGGTCATGACGTGCCGCGAGGAGGTCAGGGTGGGTGGCAGCTGGTGGCCACAGAACCTGCCGAGGTCGTGGGACAAGAGATGGGGTCAGGGGCTGACCAGCACCTCCCCAAACCCTGCTTCTGGTAGCTCCTCCCCACCAGCCTGTGGGAACCCAGAGCATCCCTCTGGCTGCCCTGGCAGGTCTGGGACCCTGGCAGGGGTCAGGAACCCCCCTGGACAGAGCCCCCAGAGACACTGGCTGTGATCTCTGGCCATGGAAAAGAGTTTTCAATCTTACAGGATCAATTACAAGCTCTGAGTGTTTGATATAAGTAATAATTAAGTGTGGCACAGCTGCAAAAGTAAAATTTTAGGTTTCTAGATGAGGGGTCCAAAGGGGACAAGATGGAGGAAATTGGGTGTGCCTTGTCCTTTTTCTCCTTCTTCATGCCCTCCATGTTTCACTGTGGTGTTGGCATTTTTCTGTTGGTTCAGGCTGGGGACACACTGTCCAACGTAGGTGACAGATATTGGCACGTTATTGTAAATCCAGCACAGGTAGTTTGTGGTATTTAATGTTTGTACCATCCCACTGAGGGCAGAGCCCCACACGCTGCCCTGCAGGACAGAGCTGCGGCAGGGCAGCAGAACATGTTAGAGATAAACAGAATAAACAACCTTGAAACAGCACAGACCAATTATGGCTTCTGCTTTGGCAGCAGGGCTGACAGACAGAGACTTTCTACAATCTCAGAATCACCAATACCCACAGATTCCGACAGCAGCCAGCCCCGTGCCTCAGTTTCCCCAGTGAGTCGTGGCCCTGTGTCCCCAGGGTGGCACGGCAGCCTGGGGGTGTCAGCTACCTGCCCATGAGGCTGGCGGTCCCCGTGCCCGCGCTGTCGTGCACCTCCACGAAGTCGAAGCTGCAGTCCTCGTGTGGCTCCAGGCTGAAGTTGTGGAAGTGCAGGTCGACGACGTGGCCCAGGGGCACCGAGATCTGCCAGAGGCATAGCTGGGGGGCAGGGGGCAGCCGGTGACACCCGTGAAGCCGGGCAGGGGCACCCCCAGCTCTGCCCGGGGGTTGCCTTCCTCCCTGCCCACCCTCACCCTCCCCCAGCGCCCCTTCTCTCACCTGCTGGTGTGGGTACGGCTGCGGGTGCTGCGGGGTGGACAAGTGCCCCTCCAGGGCGGTCAGCGGGCCCCCACATTCTGCAGGGACACAGACAGACAGACAGACAGACAGACAGACACACACGCAGATTTACCCCTGCCCCTCTCCCTTCCCTCCATGTCCCTGCTCCCCATGGTGCTGTGGGGCTGGGGGCTGCAGCCGGGGGTCTGTCCCGTGGGGCTGCATGTGGGGGTCTGTCCTGCAGGGCTGTGGGTGGGGGTCTGTCCCACAGGGCTGTGGGTGGGGGTCTGTCCTGTGGCTGGGGGTCTGTCCTGCAGCCAGGGGTCTGTCCCGTGGGGCTGTGGGTGGGGGTCTGTCCTGCAGCCAGGGGTCTGTCCCGTGGGGCTGTGGGTGGGGGTCTGTCCTGTGGCTGGGGGTCTGTCCTGCAGGGCTGTGGGCAGGGGTCTGTCCTGCAGCCAGGGGTCTGTCCCGTGGGGCTGTGGGTGGGGGTCTGTCCTGCAGCTGGGGGTCTGTCCTGTTGGGCTGTGGGTGGGGGTCTGTCCTGCAGCTGGGGGTCTGTCCCGTGGGGCTGTGGGTGGGGGTCTGTCCCACGGGGCTGTGGGCAGGGGTCCGTCCCACAGGGCTGTGGGTGGGGGTCTGTCCTGCGGACGGGGGTCTGTCCCACAGGGCTGTGGGCAGGGGTCTGTCCTGTAGCTGGGGGTCTGTCCTGTGGCTGGGGGTCTGTCCTGTGGCTGGGGGTCTGTCCCACAGGGCTGTGGGCAGGGGTCTGTCCCACAGCCGGGGGTCTGTCCCAGAGGGCTTTTGGCAGGGGTCTGTCCTGTGGTTGGGGGTCTG